AATAAGACACCCCCAGATAATAAGCCCAATCGGGCTTTTGAACGCATGCACTAAAATAAGCCCTCCCCAAAAATACTGCAACACCGCAGCAGCCATGAGGTGACCACCTTTGTCGTCTCTTGCGCCTCAAAAATAATAAGACATCCCTGAAAATAAGGCCAAGTTGTTTTCAGGGATACACAGTAAGTAATTGTCTATTTGTTAATTCCTCTTTCCTAGTCTAACAATCCCAAATGGTGGCTGTCCTGGTTCACGTTAAAAAAACAAAACAAAACCCTACAAACGGAAAAAAGAGGTACAATTATCTCAATCTGGTTTCACCCGCTTACTCATTTTTTTCCAGAGTTAAGTTTCTTCACTCAATATTTCCAGATGAGATTGCAATTTTAAAAAACTATAAGCAATTGAATTTGGAATACAAATTTCAGAGAATTTTTAGCTACTGATGTATTATGCTGCTAAATTAAGGACTCAAGATTTCAGAGTACCTGTAAATGTCCTTCCAGTTTAGTTGTCTTGTACAATTGTCCAAAATCTAATCGGTATTTTTGAAAAACATTTACATTGTTGGATGGTTGGTTGGATGGATGGATGGATACATGTGTGGGTGGCTGGATGTGTGTGTGTTTGTGTGTACGAGAGAGCATGGGGGTCTGCCTATCTGCCCAACAGAATGACAGTTATATACACATTTTTTTTAATTGTATGCTGAAAGTTTGCACATTGTTTATATTAGTATCCTCTTTCTGTAATTTTATGACATAGTGAGATAGAATGAAACAGCAGTGTAATATATTCCTCTTTCACCTTATTCAATATCCCAAAAGTTAAAAATTACTTGCAATAAACAAATCTGTCATCTCGTAAGCGTTTGTAAATCTCACTCTGATTCATCAGGTAAGAAATATCAAAGAAGTGAGATATAATGAAATCTCACCTACTCGTGGTGCCCATTAAGAGAATTAGGTTTGTCACAGGCATTCTTGCATTGACAAATGTGTTAATACACAGATAGCAAGAGTGAGAATTGGGTCACTGGTACAGATAGTCCTCGTCTTAGGACCACAACCGAGACCAGAATTTCTATTGTTAAGCAAGGTGGTTGTTAAGTAAGCTCAATTTTGCAACCTTCTTTTGCCAGCGTTAATTGTATCACTGAGTTGTTAAGTGAATCACGTAGTCATTAAGCGAATCCAGCTTCCCCCATTGACTTTTCTTGCCAAAAGCCAGCTGGGAAGGTCACAAATGGCAATAGCAATAGCAATAGCATTTAGACTTATATACCGCTTCATAGGGCTTTCAGCCCTCTCTAAGCGGTTTACAGAGTCAGCATATCGCCCCCACA